ATGACATGCACTGACCACCAGGGGGCAGACACCAATGCAGGAGCTGCCCGCTGGTGGTCAGTGCACTCCCACACTGGGAGCGCCGCTCAGGGAGCTTATGAGCAGCACAGGCTCCTCCCCAGCCGCCTGCTGCTTCTCCCACTACTACATCCCTCCTGTTGGACTGCCGGTTTCGTGGGGATCAGGCTGAAACCAGCAATTTGACATCCCCCAAAGGGTCCCGGATTATGAGAGGGCACAGGCCAGGCTGAGGGACCCCACATTCATCAGGCCTCTAGTCAAGAAATAACATAATATAAAAAGAATAAGATTTCATAGGTCTCTGTAACATTGAAAGCTCAGTTCTTTGGTGGCAGAAACAAGAGAGGGCCCAAAGGACACTAAGTTTTCAAAAGCTGCTGGGTCTGGGCCAGGGTAAGCCCTTGGGAATCCACTTTCCCACCAACCTCCTTATCTACATATATAAAAGCCTAAGGGACCGATCAACAGATCGCTATGACGTGCACTGACCACCAGGGGGCAGACGCTCAATGCAGGAGCTGCCCGCTGGTGGTCAGTGCACTCCCACAGCCAACCTCCCACAGCCCCTCCCCCCACCCAACTGGCTGGCCCAATGACCTCAAATCAGGGCAGCCAACCTCCTGCGGCCCCTCCTCCTGCTGGCCAACCTCCTGTGGCCCCAATCGCCCTGATCGCTGTCTAGGCCGAGGGACCCCACTTGTACATGAATTCGTACACCAGGCTTCTAGTTTTATCAATAAAAACACGTGGGGAGCCTGGCTGGCGTGGCTCAGTGCTTGAGCGTTGACCTATGATCCAGGAGGTCATGGTTTGATTCTGGTCAGGGCATATGCCTGGGTTGCAGGCTTGATCCCCAGTGTGGGGCATGCAGTAGGCAGCCCATCAATGATTCTCTCTCATCATGGATGTTTCTGTGTGTCTCCCTTCCTCTCTGAAATACACACACACACACACACACACACACACACAAACAGGTGAGGAAGGGACTGGTCTGAGGACTCTGGATACCCAGTGTGGGTTCCTGCCTCTCTCCCCTGCAGACCTCTTTGCTCCATCTAAGCCCTAATGGCCCTTTGGCCAAAATTTATTTTGCTGCCTTTTGGAATCTCCCCTGGAGACTGTGCGCTCCTCCTTCCCAGCTTGGGTCAGAGCCCCCCAGTGCCCTCCAGAGTGGCCCTGAACCCTCCCAGCTGTCCGGCTCCTTCGGGTTCATGGCTGGACTGGGTTCACTATCTGTCCAGCTGCAGCCTGCAGTGCACAGTGTAACCGGGCACATGCTGGCAGCATTGTGCAATGTGGCTATTCTGAACCAGAATCCAGCAGCTTTTATGACCAGCTATGAAGCAGTCTGTCCTGCCAGGGCCTGGAGTTATCAAGTTTCAAAGGATTTTTTGTCCGCCGGAGATGGCACGGTGATAATGATGGCAGCGCTTCCTGCGCGCTCGGGCCAGGCACTGTGCTAAGTGCTTTGTGTGGATTATCTACAAGAATCTCTTCAAAACCCGTTGGGAGGGGGTGGTTATCACTGTTCGACAAATGAGGAAACTGAGGCTGGGAGCGCTAAGAAGCCTCGCCGAGGAGTCAGCTGACCATTTGTGGCTGCAGGATCGGAACGCCGGCGGCGCACTCCAGAGCCCCTTTTTCTCAATTTCCACCGACACTGCTACCACCTGCGTGTAATTCACTAGCTATCGAGGGCACAGGGCCCAGACTGGTCTTCACCACACCTGCTGGAGGACCCACCTAGGTGTTAGCCAACAGAGAGGCAGCGAGAGCCAGGTGAAGGCCCTCGGCCAGGGCCCACGCCAGGCCCGGGAGTGAGGGTGGGGCTGAGGATGTTTAGGAAAGCGGTCCGAGCGCCCCCGCCCGCCTGCTCAGCGTGGGGGCCGGGAGGGGGGGCGGTGTCCGGAAAAGACCCCGCGTCCCCACCCCCCAGCCCAGGCTCGGAGCCCTTCTGGGAAATATAGTTCCGGTTGGATTACAGCTTGAGGCAGTACTTCAATAAAAAAGTGGACAGGAGATGGAGGCGGGTCCAAGAATAACCCCTTTGCCCATGTACCGAGTATTGTAAACTCTCAAATGTGTGCATGACTATACAACTATTTAAGTGAGAGATACTGTGTGATGGACAGAGCAAATACGCAGTTACCTCGAGCTGATTCCATGTCTACATGAATTATGAGCTCACCTCAATAC